GTTTAGTAGTCATGTGAAAAGTAGTTCCAAAACATAAATTGTTCCCGGCCTAAACTAGAACCTACCTGAACAGAGCAATAGTAAGTAGATCTTTTCCTCTTTTTAAAATCACCTGGCTTCATTTGCCGTGTTTTATTATTCAACCCACAGATACGTTTTCCATCACTGTTACCGAGGTGAACATTGATCGACTTACAGCTGTTATTTCCCATACACTTTATCTGACATTCAAACTCATACACAACGACAGTCGTGTGCATCACATTACCTACCAGGGCATGGTCTGAAAGACAAAAGGACGTACTTTCTAATACCTACTATCTATAGAAAAAGAGTATAAATATCCTTTTTGTTGTTGTTTTTTTTATAAGTATTTACTCACCGATTCGAGTTTCAAAAACGCTTCCACAAAAGTCTGTGTTTGCCCGAACAAACAGGATTCCCAAAATGATGTTTATGGTGATAATAGCAAACTGGGTTAGCCCCACAACAGGTATACTAAAATTGGCGGTTTTATCTTTCCCTGGTGGAGCTCCTAAGTTTTCTTGCTGCATAACGGTTTTCTGATATTGCCTTCTTCTGTAAGTAGGGCGTGTTATTAAGATCACACACACAATTGAAATACGTATAATATATAATTCATGATTCTTTTTTATCCATCGCTTTAATTGCTCTTCAGTTTGCATGGACATTTCTTTTGTTCGCTGCATTAACAGAAGACTTTGTTTGAACATTCATCATTATCATTGGTAATCTAATTTGCCAAATCAACAGAGTGGCTTTTGTTTGGAGGAATATCTAAGGTCGACTTGCAATATTACATGCGCTGGAAGGAACACCACCTGTTGTTTACTCTCGAACAGGCACGCAATTGATATCTCACGAATGAAAATGCATGCGTTTGTAAGCCCACATTTTCCATAGAAATGATGTCTACCTCTTTATGATATAGCTGCCATCACCTGCGGGCGAGATGGAGCGAATGTTAAATTCTGATTGGCTACTCTAGCAGGCAAGATGGACCAGAACACAAAAAGAAAACATTGTTAATATCCTCTCATCGTGACCTCACGCTTGGTCAATAACGAGTATTTTGCGTTCAAAAGAAGCGTAAGAGAAGTTACCTGCTGTTTGTTTGGGTTGTATAAGGGAAATTCAAATGAAAAGTTTAACTCAACATACCAACTTTGCAATGAAATCGTGAGTCCTATGAATTAACTTACTCATGGCTGACTGACAAATATTTAAATGATGAATAATAAACACTGTCCAGAGAGTACTTAGAACACTTTAGTCGGGATAATGTCAGGAAAAATTGCACGTCTGAATTGTCAAATATCGTAACTTATTATCCAAATGCAATAAGAAGAGTAAAAATAAAGAACGAATCGAGTACAAATATATAAACAATAGCCTCCTTTTGGCGCGAGGATATGCTTCGATAACTTGTCCGCTGCAGAGAATATCTGTTCCGAGATGCGAACAGTTTTCCGAGAAGGAAGCTCGGGGAAATCTGAGAACTTCTAGGAACAGATTATGTCCAATGAAAAAATTTTGTACTTATTGACTGAGTAAGAGGGAAGAACGGAAATATATTTGGCTCGCGGTCATGACTTGCGGACCGGGCGCAGCGAGGTCCGTGTGTCATGATCGAGAGCCAAATGTTTTCCCGTGCGACCCGACCTGAATCAATCAATAAGCATTTTATTATATGACCACTGATCACTAAGTTTCGGAATATTTGAAATGTCTTTTTTTTTCTAACATAAATAGGAGGCGATAGACTGGCGCGTGCGGGAAAAAAACACAAAAAAGATTCTACAACAAAA